GAAGTTGCAGGGGTTTTAGCAGCACTGGAAACATTACAAGTATCTAATTGTGACCATGAAAGCAAAATAATGCCAACAAGATTTGCAATTCAAAATAGCCTTTAAGTTTGATTTAATGACAAAATAAATGTCAACAAACAGTATTATAATTAATTATATAAATTGGCAACAGCACTTCTGTAAATTATGGATTTGAACTGCTTTTTAAATATTCCCTACAAAAAAAAATGAAAAGAGCAGTCATAGGCATTAGTTATATGTGTACACACATATGTATATAATCCATTCATGCAGATACTTTTACATATTAGTATGAGAACACATATATATGTGCTTTCTAAAGCTCAGCAGTTCTGAAAAGGGTTAAGCAGTTTTAAAATTACCTCAACCCACTGCTTAAACATTGTTGCCTTAATTAATAGCTGCTAACACATGAAGGGCTTGTCTTGGCTCTCAGAGTATATAAAAAAAAAAGCAGCATGTCACAGAGCTCTGTGTACACTGTTTCTTGTCTACTGCCATTAAAATTAATCACTGTGGCTATAACCTGAAAGGTTTGTTATTTCTGGTACAAGTGGACACACCAACACCTGCAATTTCTTACCCAAAGAATCTCCACTCGTATTGTCTGTGATTTTTTTTTTTTTTAAGTAATTCAATTGAGTTGTTTATTAAAAGGAATGGCTATTGATACTTGTTACTTACCTAGCATTTCTGAAGAGATTTTTGGAACGAACAAATATGAAATGAAACTTTTGGCAAGTACTTATTAATTTAGGCTAGCCATAGTGAAAGCAAGTCCTTCCCCAAGGAGAAGTTAAAAATATTTTTGAAGACTAACATTACTTATGAGCCAGTATGAAGGGCAGTGTTTCTATAATCCATTTTCCAGTGCTAAAAGAGTTTGTCCTTTTGGTGTAGTGGAGAGACTGCATAAACTTGGAGTGGAAATTGGGGAAGAACTTCCCATCTCTTGCTGTATTAAATACCAAACTAATAAAGGGAATTTTAAAATCTGTTTCTTAATAGATCAGTATCCATGTAACCAACAACGACTCTTGTGGTTCTAAATTTGGTGAATATTCCTTACAAATGTCGTTGTTGCTTATATTTGATAATCCTATTCCCAAATTGGACACATCTGCACACGGCAGCCCCCTAGACTGATGCAGCTGGGTTGTGCACAGTTCAAACAGTAGTTGGACCAAACAGCCTGCAAACCCTGTAACCAGTTAAATGTGGTGCCAGTTCAAAACCAGTTTTGCACTGACTTGGTTGCCTGCAGGAGCAGGGATTTACAGCTAAGGAGATCGCTTCTAAAGCTGGCCAGGGAGGATATAGAGAGAGCAAAGACAGCAGTTGGTGACTCCTTGGGATGGTGGCGCTGCTGGACAGGCGGGCATTGCTGAGTGGCACATCTGCCTTGCCACATTGCTCAAGTCCCTAACATGGTACTGGGCCTGTGGAGTGGGCAGTACAGTGAGTTTTGGGCAGTGTCTTCCTTGTGTTGTTTAGTCTCAGTGTTGGGATGGTTGTGGACTGCAGCAGCTCTGGTTATACTGCTACAGGGAGTGCAGGCAGGAGGACACAGTGAGCTGCTGCTGATAGAGGAATGCAATGTAAGGAAAAAGAATGGCTCTCTCAAACTTGGAAAGCAAAGCTGTGCTGATATTCAGGCACGACTGCTAGCCTTGGTTGGAGCCCGTGGGAAGACTTCAGTTGCCTCACCAACCATTTGCTTTTGCAGCAGCAGCTCTGCCGTGGAAGCGTGTGCAGAGGCCAAGGTGTACAGCACGACCTTCACTGGCTGAGAGGGGCATCACTCCCCCAAACTTGTGTTATTTGCAAGTGCCAGCAGTGAGAGTGGGGCAGGTTGTGTGTCATCCACCCACTCTTCCCTGAGCTCTGCTCCATACACAGCCCCACGGATGCTATTGTTAGGCATGAGCACTAATTGCTGGTATTTCAAGGCTCCTACCTTCTTATTGCTAAAGCCTGTAACAATAATCACAGCCTATATTCCCCATCTCTCGGCATCAAGGAAACAAGATATGATCATAGGCAGTGTGCTAATGTAATTGTAGTATATAGAATATGAGCTTTTTCTGTGTAAACAGAGGCCTGGCCACATCCTATGATAGCTCTTCCCACACTCTGCACGCGGGCTGTTCCTCGGCTCACCGCTCAAGTCCCCATTATGGATACATCCACCCTTGTCATAACACCACCTCTGAAACACTCACACCGTTTGGTCCTGCTGCATAATGGTAAGAGGGTGGAATATTAAATGGAAAAAGGCTGTTTAAGTAATGTCAGCAGCCTGACTAATTTCACAAAAGGAAGGAAATTCAAAGTTAAGGCTATGGTATATTCTTATCTAGATGCCTGAAGATTTCTGTGCATGACAATATGCCCCTAAAATTCAGAGCTGTCCCTTATGTCTTTAATTTCTCCCATTGTGTCGCTCCTTTTTTTTTATTAAACATCAAAGTGAATTCACAACAGAGAGTCAGCCTAGAATTTAATCCTCTAAATACCTTGAAAATAGAGGTTTAGACTAGAAGTACCAATATATACCCTTAAAACTTCAGTGTAATATAAAAGAGATTCTAATCACAACAGATCATTACAAAGAAGAGTAAACCACTTTAAAAAAAATTAAGTGTCTTAAATATAATAAAAAGGAATAATTAAGAATCAAATAGGAAGCTGCTATTCTGACAATTTAATGATGCTGAATTGGACTGAAAGAATTGGCTTTGCCACTAAAAGGCAGTGAAAATCTGATAATTTCAAAATGGCACTAAGATCAGATCAAGTGGGTTTTTTTGAAATCCAATGCAGCAGAACGAGTACGAAATGGTAGAATGCACCTTAGAAGAACCTTGGAGTGTTTTGGATTCCTTCTACTGCCTGGGGCTGAAGGCCTTATTTTATCAGACCTGCTTAACATCTACAGACCAGGGTCTTCCTGGGAATTTATTACCATGTGGAAGCTTTGAAAAGAAATGTATCAGTCCTAACTGCCAAACAGGATAATATAACACAGTTATTCTTTCATTCCTGTTTCTTAAAAAACAAACAAACAAAAAAACCCCAAAACCAAAAGAAACCCAAACCAAAACAACCAAAACCAACCAAACCTCACAAGTCTATGGGACATAACAGCCGATTAACTAGGAGTTTTCCACTGTGTGCAGCATGCAAATGAAAGTCAAGCAGACAATCTGCTTTGGGTTTCTATATGTAAGAACAGAGATATGCATCTAAACTTTTAAAAGCGAGCAAGCTAATCTAACAAAATGCTCACAGCAACTGTACACCTAATTTGCACATGCACTTACCATGCCTCTGTGAATTACAGCCATTTATTTACCGATAACTCATTTTCTGAACATAACTAGGTGCACTATGACAAGCATTAATAGGTTGTTGCATCGTTACATTTTTAATTACTTAGGGGCAGGTTGGTGTTTTCTACCTGAGAACCTTAGGAAGCAAGCTTGGCAAATTGCTATGATGTGTATTGCAGCAGAGAAAGATGTCATTAATAACCATCAGTTGGTATGCATTTATATTGTAAAAATAAATCCAAGAAGGTGAGATAATTTTATTTATTACAAGATCTCATCTATACAGTGAGCAAATACTTGTTTTGGGCGTCATCAGCATATTGCTGGAACACAAAGGCAAAGCTTTAAAACACAGAAATAAAGCTTTAAGACACACAAGCAGTTAGAACACAGAGTAGTTAACAATTGTGTTTTCCATCCTTGCATGTTCTCCTGAAGCACTTGTGAAATCTGCTGTGTTGCTTTCCTCTGCGCTGTACTTAATATGTTAAATGTCATATATGCCACAGAAAGTGCTTTGATCCTGTTCTCTTGCAGCCCTCTGAATTAAGCGTTATCACCGTATGTTCAAACATTATGGACAAAAACATCAGCTCTTATTACAGAGTGCCATGGCTCCTTTTATATCGGTGGCCCATAGCTCAGACTATTTCCAGATGTGCGGGACTCACAAGCGCCCTGTCACTCGTTCAGACGGTACGTGAAGCAAACAAAAAGCCCCAAGCCCACCCCCGACCCCAATCCCAGGCTGCAGCCGCGGTCCGTGGCAGGCTCCTGCCCGCGTCCCGACTCCTGGGGTTCTGCTGCCATCCTGTGGCTGCCGGCGCTCCCCGCTGCCGGGCGGCTGCCGGGGCTCCCGCACCGGGAGCCTTCATCCCCTGCCTTCCTGCAGGGCAGGCCGTCACCCGCTGCCTCCGCTGCTCTTACCAGTCTTGGGTCGATTTCTGCTTGATAAAGCGCAGAGATAAATAGTATAAAAGCAGGAAGCTGCAAATGATGGCAGTGAGGACAAGGTAGCTCACGTAGAGAGGGTGGGAGTCCAGGTCCAGAGCCTGAGTGACCTGCAGTGACCAGTAACACAAAATTAGGAAAAGACACAAAATTTTCATGCTGGATGTGTGAAGTGTGTTTTATGTGTCAGATTCCCTGCCCTCTGCTACCTCCCTGTGTTTTCCAGCTCGGGTGGTTTGATAGAGGGTTGCAGCTATGCTATTCCTATTTCAGAAGAACACAGCTCAGCTTCTAAAGAATTCCAGCAAAGTACATTATTTGGGATTGGTGTAGGAAAGAGTTGCCCTTTATTATTTTCTTTTTTCTCTTCAACTAAAAGAAGGAGTGACTGCTGTAGGGCCATCTTCAGGAACAAATTACAACCACGTAAATCAACACTTGGTGTGTTGATCTGGCGATTGCCAAATTTGAGGCCTACACCATCTATTTAAGTATGACAGGCTTTCAAAGAGCATTCCAATTTCTTACCAAATGTGTGCAACAATTTTTATTACCAACTTACAAGTTTCCCTGGTATTTGATAAGTAATGTTTCGATCAGTCATTTCGTATGTGGTGTCAGTGAATTGAACTTGCATCATTCCTTGAAAATTCCATCTGAGGAAAGAGATTTTTGAAACCCAAAAAGGAACTGAAAAAGAAAATGACAGAAATTGATACACATACACAAAACTTGAGACCTCGAATACTGCTGTGCTGCTGCCAAATACAGCAGGTTTGTCTCACTTCTTGACAGCCAGAGGCTGTAAACATGTGACAGTTTATTATGGGACAAAATGGCAGATATACTTTACATAGTTACATGGAGATGGGAAATCAGGAGTTAGCTAATATCCATATCCATCAAACTCCCCCTGTCAACTAAGTCTTCCTGGAGCTCCATCTTCGTCTCTTGAATACAGTTTTTTTTACTGAAGAATTTAGCAATCACATAAGAAGCTAGCCTTTCATTAGTGTTTTTTTGACCAAACTTCTCGTTGCCTCATTTTCAGATGGAGAAACTGTAAAATGTAAATGTAAAATGGATGACCTGACTGCACTGTCACCTTCCAAGAAGATAATTACACAGGTAAGAATAAAGCTGAGTTTTCTTGCACAGGACATACTGTCACTGACTAAAGCCATCGATGTTTCAGTTTGGAGGGAGGGTGGGAGCTTTGTCTTACCTGTCCAGAGGCTGTTTAGGCTTATCACAAAACCACCACTCAGGTAGAATGATGTGAAGAGGACATTGCCAAGGAAGGCCGAGAGCTGTAACGTCGGCAGCAGAGCTGCCACCCAAAGTGCCATGGCACGGGCACTGTAAACAGCCAACCACAACAACAGGAAGTTCAGCAGGAAATGCTCTGCCTCAGGAACAAGGTTTGCCAGCCAGTAGATGGGAACCCCATAAATTATAACAAAAACGCAGTGTTCTGGGAGCTCCCCCAAAATCTGTTTGGGAAGATAAAAAATTTTAAAAAGGGAAAAAGGTGAATGATAATTACAAAAATACGAGATGTGCCTTAATGTACTTATGGACAGTTTATAAGAGCTATAGGAAATACTCCCTTAGAATGAAATCATCTCCCTGTTAGGGCTTGCCAGTGACATGCAAAACCAATCCACAACAGAAAGAAAACCTTGCAATTTTTTTCTCCAGTTGTGACAATGCCTAAAACTAATGGTTACAGTTTATTTTGTTAAAGAGTTTGGGAGCTTCTAAGAATACAATATACTTTTGCTGTGAACTGGTGTGCTTGGCAACAGTAATATTGTTACTGACTCATGACAACTGAATATTTTGTCCCAATTTGGTTGAAACTACTGTGAGATCAAATTTGAGACAAATTTGGCTGTTGGTCCTTTCACCACCTTGTCCCCAATGCAGTCCTGTAAGCAATTTGATTCACTGTAAAGCAAAAGCATAACTGGGATTTTCTGAAATATCTAAAGAAAGTATTAGTTCTTCCAAAGAGGGTTGCTACTATCCTCTAATACCAAGGTTGTAACAAATTACATCGATTTCTCTGTGAATAATCTGCAATCTTTGTGACACAATGCAAAGAATATTTTTCTCTGGCAACCACTAATAAGCATTTAAAATCTTGTGCAGAAATGGAAACCTAAATTACAGATGCCATGGCAGGCAGAACTCATCTAACATCACAAAAGAGGGATTATTCAAAACCCTTGTGAAAAAGAGAATGTAGTTTTTTAAAAAGTTCTAAATTTAATTCTAGAAACTCTGGCTCTTTGTGCATGTAATACATTTTTTAGCTCAGACCAATACATGCCCAAACAACTACTGGAAATATCACAGCATTTTGTCATTTCTGTTTTACCTCTGCTTTAGCATTTGATACGAGTGTTTTGTTTTACAGATCAAGATATGTAAGCAAACTTTCAGAGACGCTGAAGTGAATTAAATAAGCAGCTATGTAAAAATTGTCTAAACCTGGAAATCTGAGATTTTTCACATTTTGGCCAAAGAACCCAGTGAAAAGTTCTTCTTTGGCTTTTCTGTGTGTGATATCAGCCATGACTTATGGCAAAGTTCTAAACTAGTGTGAGGCTTAATCTATAAATGCTAAGGAAGCGAGACTGATAGCCTTAGCTGGCAGACACAACAGAACAAAGTCTGATATGAATGTGATTATTTATACAACAAGGCTTTGGTTTGCTTGTGTTGTTTAACGTTTGAGTCAGCTGTTTGTATTTCCTGGCAACAAAACCAATTACCTTAGCAAAGAAGTATGGGCTAACAGAGTACATTCCACCTTCCAAGTCATGATAAAGCATTGCTCTTTCTGAATGACCTGCAGGGTAGGAACAAACACACTGAGTTGTATTAATAAGTCTATTTTTTTTTAATAGATATAAGAATTTTTTTATATTGATTCCTTATAGCATTCACAAGAAGACTGACACTTACATTTGGCAATAACATCCAAAATTATTGTGAATGGGATTAGGGCACCTATCATGTACAGCAGTGCTGTTGTGTCACGAATAGAGAGTCCGTTTTTTTCATGGCCATAGTACAAAAATCCAATTAGTAATGACATAAGAAGGGCTTCAAATCCATGGATTAATAATGTTGAAAGATCTCTGAAGTCATTGGAGACCTGACGACTAGGAAAACAGCAATATTGACCGTAAGATATAATACTTACTAATGCTGGTTATATTCAGACACATAGCCCCAAACAGTGTTAAAATCAGTTCTTGGAACTTGCTGGCTTTGGCTAGGACAGGAGTTGGGCTCCCTGTAAAGGATTTTACCTAATCAAACCTATGAAGCACCTGTAGCCACCAAGTATTTCAGGTCTGAAATGCTGAAAGCCTGAAGGACAATTGGTGTGGGACGTTCTGTGCCTCTTTCTGATGATTTTAAATACAAATGGGCAGTATACATAACTGTTTGTGCTGAAGATTAAGTTACCTTAATAATATAGTGAACTGCTTTAAGGCTCCTGGTAATTGATCACTTGAATGGTGAGGCATATTGATAACCTCTTCTGAATTCCTGGCCAAAAGAAAAAGAGGAAAAAAGAAATTAGCACAAGGTGTAGCTGTTATTCCAGATGTTTTGTATTACACTCTTTTCTTTACCTCTGCTTGATGACTGTGGTCTCAGCGTTGTCTCCTTCAGTAGCTTTCCATAAGAAATCATCAAAATGTTTGACCTTTTCTACAAACAAGTTGGCAAGAGCATTTGCTCTTTTTCGGCTTTCCATCTCCTTTTCTGCAGTCTGTTTATCGATACTGGTAAAGTCAACTGCAAGGCATTACTTGATGTGAGTCCATGTGCTATAGAAGAAATAACTTTACGATGTGTTCAGAATCAGGGATTTCATTGGGAGCAAACAGTCCAATCTGTGTACATGCATTAACTTACAACAGTTAAAAGGATCAGTTATTTTAGGTAATTAGAGATGAACAGATTGTTAATGCGTATGTTTCTTACCTAGTCACTCAATGAATCACTGAGAGATTACATAATTGCTTATTATAGTATTATACACTACTATTTCAGATTTTTATAAATTTTGCACCTTGAGAGCAGTGCTGAGAAAAAGAGTTTGAATTTCCTTCCTGGCATGTAGGTATTTACAGTCTTTTATGTGACTTTGACTTAAATCACCTTTTCTCTTCCTCTGCAAAATTATAGTTCCTGTCTTAGTTGTATCTTATCCTGTCTTAGTTGTATCTTACAGAGGTGCCATAAAATTTACCTGATACTGAGAAAGTCCAAAAGGAGTTATCTAAGGACAACACAGTCATACCAATAATAGTTGACTTAGCTTTTTTTTTTTTCAATCTAAACTTACAATAGTATTTCCTCATGCTGACCTTTGGTATAGATTGACAATACCTGATGTTTTACAGACGCTTTCTGAGAGAACCATCACTGCACATCTTCTAATGCCTTGCACTGGGCTGATCGTGTCTGCTCAGCCACTCTTAGGAGGAGTCCATCAGAAATTCTTTGCTTTCCCTTCTGCCCTGGTCACCTGTTTCTCTGTCAGATACACAGCCAGCATCTGTGTGTTTCCATCAGGTGCTCCCTCTTGCTGTGGATGCTCTGCCATCCTGTCCTATTTCCACCTTCCTGCTGCCCATATTTCCTTTATTTTCCTGTGGGTACTGACTCAGTGCATACCATTCAATGATCTTCCACCTGCCTCTCTGCCCTCCCCACCTCCATGTCACTGGGGTTTGTCTCTGTAACCACAGGCTGTAACTACAGGTTTCCCAGGGCTGCCTCTCGTTCTCCATTCCCATACAGGGGTGCTGCAAGCCTTCCCCAAGGCTGTCCTTGGCTGAGGACTGCTCTGAACCCTGATGGTGACAAAGGTCTTTTTGTGGGGCTTGACACCAAGGTTAACTTGTGTTTATCTCTGCGCAGCTGGCACTGCCTGCCACACACGCACAGCTGAAGAGGTTACTCCAGAGCATTGTGCTTGTCTGAGGTCTGTACCAGGTTTGCTGGCCAACTTGAGTGCAAAGATCTAAGGGCTGGAATTGAATCAGCCTCTGTTCAGAGATTCCTGCCATTAGATTAACAGGCAGATTTCCTTTTCACCTTGCAAAAAACAGAAGATGGATGGATGGATTTGAAACCAAGTCAACTTTCTTTGAGGAGTAAAAAGATTACTGATTTGGATTAGGATTTTCTCCCTTCCAGTGTGCTCTGCAGGGCAGCACTCCTTTTCCCCATTGCCTGTTGCAGATTTGTCTCAGACTAGGAGCTAGCTTCTGGGAAACAAACTTCCACATTTTCTTAATTTAGACATCAGAGAACTGTCTACAGAAAGCAGTTGATCAGTTTATCTGTGTCTTTCCCAGAGAAGTTTCAACCAGCTAAGACATGGGGATAAGTATGCTAAACATGTCAACAAGTTATTGCATCTGGCATGGTTAGAGGTAGCATTTTTAAAATTAGTTTTATCTGTACCTCTTGTTTTTGCTACATTTCCTGTACTGACAAATAAGGATTCTATTAAAAACTGAACCTTCTGCAATATTGATTTGAGTTAGTTACAAGGCATTTCTAAGACAATCATGGTCAATAACAATAAACATCACCTAGCCACTTAGGAAAGCAAATTATTTCCAGTAATCCTTTTTTAATGACAGTTCTTGATACTGACCGTAGAAATCTGCAGGATTGCTGTACCTTGGGCAAGGATAGCCTAGTTCTGTGAAATACTGGACCATGTCTTTAGCTGTTCCACAGTAGGCAGTGAGTCCAGAAGTCATCAGAAGAACCAAATCAAACAGTTGGAAGATATCTGACCGAGGCTGATGAAGTGAAAGAAGAACCAATCTGTTTCCTCTGGCCAGTCTGGATAATGTAATCACAAGGTTATGTGCAGTAAAACTGTCCAGTCCAGATGTGGGTTCATCAAGTATGAGTATTCCTGCCAAAGACAGTAAGTTTAGCTGTGGAAAGCAGCATGTTTGGTTTGGAAAATATATTCTAAGTGAAATGGTGCTAGTGCATAAAACTTCACTCATTATTTTTAAATTTAAAGAAAATAATAATTTCTTTTTTTTTTCTTCAGTACTTCCATTCCTGAGCATCACTTCTTACAAAAGCGATAACCTGCTTTCCCCATAGCTACACAAGTATAGCTTTATACTTCTAGAGTTTTCAAATCCATTTCCTAGGGAAAAAGCTGATGGGGAATCTTGTTCAACAAGAGATTCAGTCAAGGTTAGTAGTGCTTTTGATATATATATATAAGATCAGAGAGGGGATTCAATCCAGCAAAATCAGCTGTGGATTGAGCCTCATGTTCTGCTTCTACTGAAGACAGTGGGAGTTTCTAGTTCACCTGCAACATGAAGCCATGTCAGTGAGTTGCACAAGACTGCAATGACTGACTGTACAGTGAAGAAAATTATTTTTCCTGTTAATACTGCACATGTAAATGGGAGCTTGTGTCAGAGGAAAGGAAAACAATCTCCATGTTAAAATAAGCCGGAGTAACTTGTGACATTTGGTCAGATAAAACCCAAACCTTATACTGATATGTACAAACCAGAGCACTGCTGTGAGAGTAACTTCAGGCAACTTTGAGTAATCTTTGTGGTGGTGGTTTTAGAGAGTATGGGTGAAGGCTCCTGGGGGCCCTGCCTTGGTCTGTCTCTGCTTTTCCACTGGCAAAGGCGACTGAAACAAAAGTGTGTCAGCTGCTGAAACACTCTGTTTACAGAATTATTCCTGTGATAATTACAGTATTATCTGTTATCAGCATTGATTGCAATTGAAGCAAATGGACCAGCAGCAGTCACTAACTGTGCTGTGGAGAGGCAGCCTCTGGCAGAGGGTGGTGAAAGGCCTGTTAAGTGTCCCGAGTATGAACTCCTCCAGCTGCCCTGGGGGCAACTGAGTGTGTGGCTCTTCCCTGAAATCTTCCATCTTCGTGCAGTGCCCCGTAGTGCCTGAGAGCAGTGTGGTGGGCCCCAGGAAGGTGTGAGTTGTGCTCACCCGGGTTCCAGAGCAGCTGCACGCCGATGCTCACCCTGCGCCGCTCTCCCCCGGACACGCCCCGCAGGTACTCGTTCCCCACCCGGGTGTTGGCGCACTGCCGCAGGCGGAGCTCTGCGATCACATCTTCCACCTGCGGGGATCCAAGGGTGACAGGCGTCAAGAGAGAGTTCATTTGCACATTCGTGCATAGATGAAACTGAAAATATGATTAATATGGGTAAAATTCATCTGGATATTTCATTGCTAGAGACACGTGAAAACAAATCTTGATTTTAGAGGCAACGTTTAAAAAGACTCAGCGATCAAAAATTTAGTTTGTCTTTCAGCCTCTCTAATGCTTTCTCTAGAGTGTCATTTTTATGAGCTTTGGAACAATTGCTGGTTTCTATCTTGAAAGATGAAAAAGGTTTATAATTCATAATCTACATAAAAAAATGCCAGATTAGCTGTTCTGACTCCAAACACACAGGATCTCTTGGATAATTCCTGTCAGACACATTTTTGACAACTTTATTTTTTTCCCCAACAGCTTAATTACCCTTTTTTTCCTTTGTGAGTCTGAAAAAAACTTTGGAAGGCGCAGTTTGGCAACGAACAATAGTGTTTCTCTGACAGTCAGGTGGGGGAGCAGTCGGTCATCCTGCCTCACGTGTGCTATGCATTTCCTAACAAGCTGGGGAGTGATGGGTTTGTTGTTGATCGTGACTTGACCAGACTTGATTTTGCCTCCATGATCCCGGCAGGTTATCACGTCAAGCAAGGATGTCTTTCCACCAGCTAGAAAAATAAAAATTGAAAATTAATTTCCAAGGGATGGTTTTGAAAAGTTATTTTGTCACGGACAGAGATGTTAAGGATAAAAAATTCTTCGCCAACCCCTCCTAAACTTTTCCCAAAGTCACAGAGACAGGGTGATCTTCAAAGAAAACCCTGACTATAAGCTTCTGTTCAGGAAATCTCTCCCCTCTGGAATGGAGTATATAAATCCTTATCATTTCTCAGCAGAATTGAGCAGTTGGGCTTTGAGGACAGCTTCATGAACACAAGAAGTGTCTCTTATCTCTGGTAAACTCTCACTTTTGAAACAGAGGTGAAAGATGGTTCTGTCTTGGCTGCAGGGCTGGCACCCAAATGCTCATCAAGAGCTTTCTTTGTGGAGGGATTTGTGAATTCAGAAATAGCAGCTGGATCAGCTCAATGACTAAGGTAATGAGTGATTATACAGACAATAAGAGCATTAATCACAATTGAAATAAAAATTATTATGACTTAAATTAGACAAAAAGTCATTTAAATAATTAAGAAAAGCTGGCTCATACCCAGAGGTAAGAAAAGTAAAACAATGAAAATAAAACCTGATTTAGAGTTAAACAGCAAATGAATTTTTCCTTTTTGTTGTATGATTCTGTATGTAAACACACAGAACTCTCTTATGATTAGATGTCATTTATTTCTAGTCTCCCTGTTGAAAGATTAACTCCACACTTGCTTCTTAATACATACATCTTAAAAAAGAAACCCATCCATCTGTAAACCACGTATTGCTCTGCTTAAGAGTGACATATTGATTGCCATTGACAATGTGAAACCCATCAGCAGTTTAATCCATTTTACTAAGGCATTTGATGAAATAGATGATAAACAGCTTTTGAAAATAGTTTGACTAGTTTGCTGAAAGGGGTTTGTGCTCAGTGTATGTTGCCTTACAAAGGTGCTATATCTATAACTCAGTATGTTATTTCATCTCACAAAGCTTTTCCTTTTATTATCAGGAGAATCTCTAAGGTAAGCTTCACTTGCATTAAGAATATGTGCTAAGGAAAAATTCCCATGGCAATAGGGAAGAAAAATCTCTTTTTTTTTTTTTTTTGAATAAAGTTAAAACTGCTTTGGAAAATATGCCTTGCCTTTGAGAGAGAGCATTTTCACTGAGCTAACCTAATGTAAGACTCTAGTGGAGACACAGCCATGGGAGGTTTTGCCTCCCAACTACATTTAATTCAGTTTAAAGGTCTTGTGTCTACTTCTTGTGTCCCCCTTGACGAGTCCCACCAGAAAATGGAAGAAAAAAACAAACCCCAGTGTAATAAAGCAGTAACACCAGACAGAAGAAGAACTGTCTTTTCTTCTCTGTAAGTTTCTATTAATTAATGCAAATGCAATATTTTATCCTGTTAGAATTGTTTCAGTCCAAATGCAATTCCTGCTTATGGTTATGCAAGTTGGCACTGATCTTTCTTACAGGGTCTGGCCTCATTTGTTTGCTATCTGAGCATGGTCTGCAATTGGCCTGTTTTGAATCTGAGCCATGAAACTGATTCATGTCCAGCAGATCTGGGGCTGCAAGGCCACACTTGTAATAATACCTCACTACACCTCAGGAAACAGAATGCAAATGTGTGCAGGGCATAACAAAATTGGGTTTGAAAATAAATTTTCATTCTCCCTTCCGCCCCGTATCTTTGTTTCCTTGTTCATCATGTCACTTAAATAATGTATTTTAGTGGCACATCCAACAGTTTTTCTCAACTAGATTTTGACATTATAAAGACTGCAGAGTGTTGCTCTTGATTGTGTACATTTTATCTGAGAGCTGGTCATATAAAGAAATGTGGCTGCCCTTACCAGTGCTTCCTATAACTGCAAGCATCTGACCACTTCGCACTTTTAGATTCAGATTTTGGATTACTGACACGTGGGAACGGGGATCTGATTTCCAGGTCCAGGGCATTTTCATTTGAGCAAGGTTCTCATACCAGGGAATCTGGGATGCCATGTTAACCTAACAAAGAAGGAAACAAGTCCCTTAAATTCAAGCAATAAACTAACAACAACAATAAACTAACTTCAAAGTTACAATACTACAAGCAAAGCATATATTAAAATATTATTGCTCATCTTCAGAAATACATAGAAGGAAATTCTTTTGCAGCCACCTATGCTTTCTTGCCTTGCTTCTTGTTCTGTTAATCACTAAAGCTCTCTCTGTCCTTTGTTACTTTGGGAATTTATTATTATTGTAAATTTTAAATGTTTCAAACTTTAAATATAATTAGAAATTCCACGAAACTTAAATTGTGAAATCTTATTCAGATGCCATGGTGAGGAGGAGAAGAAACATTTCACTGGTTCATTGAAATCCTCCTTGTTAGTAATCTTCTCTTTATCCCCTTCCACGTACCTTTTCTTGCTGGCAAGAGCTCCTTTCATCCCTAGGTGAACAGCAAGTCCCTCTGCTCCAGCCCTCAGAGGAATAATTTTGCTTAAGACTGAAACAAAGCAGGGCCTAGAAACAGATCTCTCTTCCTGTCTTATCTTTTAACTTTACTGGATGAATTTACAATACAGGAATTAGTCTGCTGTCAATACTGCAGCCAAGAGTGTTATTCTGCTCACAAACTGATTGTGCAACAGTTTTGTGAACTTTTTCAACTTTATTTTGCTTTTTAAATGGCCTGGGTATAGAAACAGGCATTGCTGGATATTCTTCTTTCTGAAGGGAGATGTACAAATGACTTTTTACCTGGTAGTTGAGATCTTTGACCTCCAGAACATTTGATTTTCCACTGTATGTGAAATAAAGACTGTTATCTTCTTCAGTGTGAAAAATAGTATCCTGGGTCTTGGTCTGGAAAAGTTGTTAAAAGGTGGATTACAAGAGTTAATTACAATAATTAAGTGCTGCTAAAGTCTGAGTTCAGAAAAGATGAAGCACAAAGGGAAATTTATTTATGGGATGTAACAGCATTATTGATGAGTTACTGTAGTGCAAAAGTCTGAAAGGTTGAAACGAGTTATCAGTTATCTGTTAATCAGTGTGATGTGTGAGGGACAAACATGCTGTGCTGTGCTTTTCTAGTTGCTTTCAGACTAAAAGGGAAACTTTCAAAATGGAGATAAATATCATGTCACTACAAAGAGATTAAACTTTTTTTTTGAGAAAGAAAGATGTACTACTTCAGCAGTATTAGTCTACGGAATCAAAATGGCACATACTGTAATTGATGCATTTTGGCAGCTAAAAATGAAGTTTCATTGCAGGTATGTCCATTTACTGAATTCCATATGGACTTGTAAGACTTGGAGGCTTTATGAACAAATAGGTGTGCAGCCACTAGCCACTAGCCACTTTTTCTTCTCTTTTGTTTTTTTAAATTCACCATTTATCAGCTGGAACTTAATGTTCTGAGATATCAGTTAAAATAACAAGAGTCTACTTGGCCCTTTTGCATACAGCTGCAATTACGAAGTCCTAGCCGAGGCAGCTTTCTGGCTTTGGGTTTAGTTCTGTGTGCATGCCTGCAGTTTTCCTTCCAGCCAGCCATATCTCTCCCACAGCTCTGTGCTTTTCCTGCTTGTCAGACTCACACCCTGGCCAAGGCAAATGTACCTGTTCCCTGTGTACCAGACCCTATGCATGCCTGTGGTATCTTTGGCAGAGGATGACCATGATCTTTGCGTGCACCTCTTGCCCTCACAGCAAACAAGGCTGATTAATTTTTTCAGTTTAAGATACGCAGCAGAAAGCAACATCACACCAAGCAGCCTGGAAAGCCACAGGAAAGCCCTCCAAACTACCCCTGCTGCCAAAGCACTCTGAGCCGTTCCTTATGCTGAACCTAATTTTTAAAAACAGGTGCTCCCCAGCAAATGTGGAGATCCAGCCTGAAGGCATTTCCTGGGAAAGCTGGTCCAGGATACGCTCAGGACCTTTCTCCTCCACCCACACCTTTGGAGACCCTCTCTCAGCTGCACCACGCTGGCACCTGAGCAGGGATTGCATGGCCCCAGCCTCATGCCCGGTGTGCTCCGGTGGGGATGAGGATGCTTTCTGCTCCCGTTTCAGAGCAGGAGCAGCCCAGGGCTCGCTGACCTGGGACAGCCCTGGGCAGGATGGCTGCCTGCCTCTCCCAGCTCCTGGCCAGGGCTAGCTGGCTATGCCGGCGGGATAGCCGGGCTCCTTCCCACTCACTCCACGCGGCTCTCGCTCACAGACAGCCTCGCACATCACCTGGCTCCAGCTGGCATCGTGCAGAGAGACATTGTCAGTAGTTTCCTTCATGGTGGTGGTGCTGGAAGGTCTCCCTCCCTGCAGTGGTTTAATTGTGGTCTCTGTGAAGACTTCGGAAATCCTTCTCCTCTTGGTTTGGAACGCGGTCCTTTCCAGGCGCCCTCACCGCAGCACCATTGCTGCTGGCGCGCTGCGTCTCTGCAGCTGACATGACCCCGTGGACAGGGAAATACTCCCGTCCTCTGGGACACTAATAGCTCGGGCTAAAGGTACATCAGATAGCGGCTTCAGCTAATCACTGATCAGTTCTTCTCTGGAAAACGAGAGAACAGGGAACGCGTCTGTTTTCTTCGAGGTGACAAGTGCCGAGGGCATCGACCTGCCCTGACCCGGGACAGCGGGAGCGGCCCCTCTACGGTGCCACGGAGGAATGGTGGCGGCGGCAGTGGCGGTGGCAGTGGCAGTGGCAGTGGCAGTGGCAGTGGCAGTGGCAGGCACCCGGCCGGCAGCCTGAGGGACGCAGGGAGGCTGCGGAGCTCCGGCAACCGAGGATGTCGGGCAGAGCGTCTCCCACCCTGGAGAAGAACGGCAGCATCGGGCACGCATGCGACGGGAAGGCTGTGGGGCAGCTCCCCGGCAGCATCAGCGTGCAGGGCGTCTCCTACACCATCAGGTAGGGCTGGGAGGGCTGTGTGGAGGGTCCCTGCTCCGGCGCCGGGGGCTGGGCTGTGGGCCGGGGGCTGGGGGCTGGGGGCTCGGCCGCGGCCCAGCATGGCCATGGTGCCCGGCCCCCTCATGGTCCCATGGCCCCTCATAGTGCCGGGTCCCTTCATGGTGCTGGGCCCCCTCGTGATGCCATGGCCCCTCATGGTTCTGGGCTCCCTCATGGTGCCGGGCCCCCTCATGGCACCAGGTCCCCTCATGGTGCCGGGCCCCCTCATGGCCCTGGGTCCTGCATCTTCAGGGCAGAGCTCTCCAGAGCCTCTCCACATCTCCTTCCCTGAAGGACATGCTTTAGAGGAGGTTTCCAAACGTTGTGCACTGCTGCCTTTCTTGCTGCTGCCAGAGGGATAACACGAGGCCCTAAGGAAAGGCACAGGTGAATTAATGTTGGTAAACATCATCAGCAAATAAAGCCACAGTTCACGTTTGCCCCATTTGGTTGTAGTCCGAAAACCTCTTAGCAATCATTCTGAAAAGTCAGACTTCGTCCAGGTAATGCCAAAGTTGAAGCCTTATGGAGGGGAAAAGGGGGAAAATATTTTTCTATTTCCATATTTTAAAATACCTGCAGCTCCCATCCCACATGCAAGTAGCTATGAACCATTCACTTGCTTTATGCAAAATTTTTACATATTCTCTCTCTAATTTTTTATTAATGTTTATTTTCCAAGAGAGCGTGTTGGCCCATGGTGGAACTTTTCTTTATATTGTAAAAAATGGACCCGGCAAATACTTAAGGATGTTTCATTTCACATAGAAAGTGGCCAGATTATGGGGATTTTAGGAAATTCTGGTAAGTTGTTCCAGTACTTTAAAAGAAATAAGATCACAGTTAATACTAGTGATTTCTACAGTGACATGAATGTGACTGAGGTCTGTGTTTTAAATAATAAAAGTGTGGCTGATTTTAACTTCTGCTTTGTAAAACTGGTGCTTGGTTTTCAGACCTCAGTCTTCTGTCATCTAACTAACAATTACAACTTCAATAACAGACAAGGTTAGTTCAAAACTCAAATGTTTCACTGCAAAGTGTGAATTCTTTATGAATTAAATGCTAATTTGCATTCTAGTTTTCCCGTTTACTTTCTCTTAATTAGCTGCATTTTCAGGGCCTATTACTTTAAGTTTTTTGAGGAAAAATCCAAATTTGTACTTTTCATGTGTGTCCGTAAGTCAGACTACTACTCTTGGAATCATAAAATTCATCTCAGCACATGATTAAATTTTGTTGTTTGAAAGGATCTGGGAAAACAACACTTCTGGATGCAATATCAGGAAGACTGGGATATAAAGACAACTTCTTTGGTGAAGTGTATCTGAATGGCCATCAGCTGAAGAGGGAACAGTTCAGAGATTGCTTCTCTTATGTGCCACAGGTTGATTTCTACATTTATTTTTTGAGTACTGTGCTTCCTTTTGTGTAGTTGCTAGTGTAATGGAGTAGTGTGAGTGTGATTTTACTAATATATTTGGAACAAATCAGTTCCTAAGATGTATGAGTGATTAAGCTTGCATGAAGAGGGACAGAATTTTAATTACTACAGCACTAATTGTTTCTTCCTCTTCACTTTTTTTTCAGAGTGACACTTTGTTAAGCTTTCTCACCATACGGGAGTCTTTGACCTACACAGCTTTACTAACTCTTAAGAATTCCTCCAACAGCTCCATCAAAAAGAAGGTCAGTATTTTACAGTCTTCCAACAGAAAGTCATACAGGATGTCATGAAATGCTTTCACCAGCAGCACTTTCCATCCATGGCTGTGTTTTATGTTTATGAGGTTTTGTAATCCTCATTCTGCACATGGGGAGAGATCCCCCTGCTGAGGGACAGGAGTAGGACACAAGCTCTCTGGTGGTCCCAAGTGTTCAAGGGGCTTGTGCTGGTGCCCCAGGACATCACGATTTTGCTGGGACAAAACCCTCCCACCCAAAGCTGAAGCAGAAACTACTGCAGGAGATGCTGGTCCTGGTATTGAGACCAGTTCCCCTTCCCCAGAGGGGAGCCTCGGTTCTCTGGGGTATTTGGGGCCATGTGTGCTGGCAAGTCTCATGGACAACACAACTGATTTTGGCACCACTCTGTCTCCTGTAGGACATCTCTCACTAAACATAACAGCTCAAAAAAGCACTGGTCTGCCAAGCCCCCTACAAGCTGCTTTCTTGATAAAATCAGTGTGTTTCAGATTTATCTAAAGGGTTCTTTTTTAATTCTGTTGAAAGTAAAATTGGATATTCCTGACCAGAGAGTCTTGCTTTCTGTCTTCTCTCTTCCCCAGTCTTCCACTCAGTACTTTATACTTCCCCAGAGTTGAAGTGTCTTCCTGCTCCCTGATTTTGGAAGCCAGAGCAGCATATTATGCATACTCCATACCTTAACTTCTAGTCCTACCTCTGAACTCTTCATCTCTTAATGTCAAGTGAAGCTGAAATTTTCTCATTTCAGAATACATTGAAATAAAAATTTTAAAATAATGAGTTAAATAATGTATTAAAAATAATCAAATAGAAATTAGGTCAGATACTGTCCAACTAGTATGGATGCAAGCAGGATACTGGTAAAGCTTTAACTTAAAATTGCATCCTATTTTTGGCTGTTTTTTACCATTGCACACAGGTGTCTGAGTTGGACTGTGTTTAGTCTTTTGAAATTGTAATTATTTTTCAGGTAGATGCAGTTATGGCTGAGCTGAGTCTCAGCCACATTGCTGACAAAATAATTGGAAGCCGGAATGTCGCAGGAATTTCTGGGGGTGAGAGGCGTCGGGTATCAGTTGCAGCCCAGCTTTTGCAAGATCCCAGTAAGTACCACTGCATGGATTCTCAAAATAAAACAAGGTTGTGTCACTTCGTGCTCCTACCACAGGCTTCCATAAACCACTTTAAAATACAAAAGCATTTGCATTCTTTAATTCAGCAGAAGCCAGTCTGGTGACAACAGAAAAGAATAAGCAATAACTGAGGTCTGACATTGATCTGTTAGTTGATCTTGGAAAGAAATTAAAAAATCTTAGGGACTGGAACATAGGTTTAGATTTGGATTTATCAACTTTAAGTCTTTCTGTGTTCACTCTTCCTAAATGTTGGTTGTGGCCTATTAATTTATCATTTTTGAGTACATTAGAGCCATACATGTGCAAGCAGTAAGCCTTGCGGTGGAGTAGCTGCCCTTGATCTGCGTATGTGTGACAGCCATATGTGTTCCAGAGCCAAAAAAATTCCAATGAAAGGAAATCAAAGCTGAGTAACTATGGAAGGATTATCCATGGGAAAAATCTTGTCAGTTTTGAGAGAGCTTCTTGAAGGTGCCAGAATCTCACAGAGTGAATGTACAGCACGTATTTATTGGATGCTGGGGTCCTTGTAGCCATGTGGGTGTGCTACAACTGCATATTAGGCAGGAAGGAGTTTAAGTAGCACAGTGAAGTACATCCCTGCTGCTGGTGACTCCTGGGGTGTAGTTGCTGCTCAGGACCTCACTAAACTCTATAGTAAACACTGTAGTAGTTCTGTGTAGATAAACCTGTGGTGAAAACTCTCCTCCCCTCGTACCCTGATCAAGGTAGGACTGCCTTTGTCTGTGCAATGTCTCATCTTTATAAAAATAATAGATTTGATTATAAGTGTTTCCCTTTCATGTGCAATAAAATAATGAAGAAAAGGCAGTAACATCTGGTTCAATCTATGGAATTGCATCTGCTGTATTTTAACAATTCTTGGTTTGTTCATAATGAATTCTGTGTGTATATATAAATTTTAATTCAGAATATATAACTCCTAGCTAATTTTGTCGCTTATATTTACAATTTTGTACATGCTGAAATTTATCATTATTGTTCTTAGAAGCAGATGTATGCATCAAAACCATTTTGGTAATTTTCAGATTTCACATTAATTTAGAAAAAGAAGTATTATGCTTTGAAGTATTTTCAATGTCCTGATTCCTAGTCATTGAAACTGAACCACTGAAACTAACTACAACTGAAAGGTCATGTCATGACAATGCATATACTCTGTTTTATGTGTGGAACTTCACCTGTAAAATAATTTCCCTGTTATTTGCTGAATTAGCTTTAAGGGCAGAAGCTATGCCATTTGCTCCTTATTTACCTGAATTTTAAAGCTATTCCTTGTTGTTTGACAGAGGTCATGCTACTTGATGAACCAACAACTGGGCTGGACTGCCTGACTGCAAACCAGCTTGTCTTGCTTCTCTCAGAGCTTGCACACAGAGACAGGATTGTGATTCTTACAATCCATCAGCCTCGCTCAGAGCTTTTCAAGGTAGATGATACCTACTCACTCTTGGCTTTTCCACCAGACCTTTTAGTACTTAGGTTCTTTTCAGGATGGAAGTACAGGATCCAGTATAGCTGCCTCTTTTCCCTTCCTGTGCATAATTAGAGGCTTCTCTTGAATTT